GATATCTGTCTGTCCATCTCTATTCATCTCAGTCAGTTCATCTATGTTTGTTCGTTTCTATCTATCTATCTATCTATCTATCTATCTATCTATCTATCTATCTATCTATCAGTTTGTTCATATCTATCTATCTATCTATCTATCTATCTATCTATCTATCTATCTATCTATCTATGTGTTTGTTTACAGCTGAGTCTGTTCATGCCTTCCTTCCTCCTCCTCATTCTCTCTCTCTCTGGCCCCTTTATAGCTATCAGCAAAGGTGCCGTTTTATGAGGCAGGCTGTCTAACTATTGATGATGCATAAAGCAGATGCAAAGACGAACTTCATGACATGTCACATCAAATCCACGGCCATTTTGTCTCACAGCCAGCCAAGTGGTCTCGAAGTTCCGGCCAGCAAAATCCACTTCCTGTCTTGTCTCCTCCTGTCGTTTTTCGTATATTTCCTTCTTCCATTTACACTTTATCTTTTCATCCGTATGTCAGGCGATTATCTCATGTCTCTATTCATTCGTCTGTATTCATTGCCTCTTTTGTTAATGCCCTTTCCAGATTAATATTTTTAATATCTTTTTCGACCTTGATGAGACTTCAATTAGTTTTCTTTATTTTTAACTTACATTTTTTTTGGGAGCAGGGTTTGCGGGGGGTTCACTCTTCGAATTTTTTTTCTTTCAATCATTCTTTTTACTTTACCTTCTTCGAACTTTTTCTACATTTCATATTATTTTTTCATTCTGTCCTTTTGTCCCACTCTCTCTCTCTCTCTCTCTCTCTCTCTCTCTCTCTACTTTTCTTTCTATTTATTTCGATTTATTTTTCTTTCTTTTTTCACATTACACATTATTTTTCTTTCATTCCATTTCTTTTTATCATTCTTACTTTTTCTTTTTCTTTCACGTTTCTTTCTTGCACAGTAATTTTACGCTGACTTTTCGTTGTCTTTCTTTCCTTCTTTCTCGCTTTCTTTCTTTCTTTCTTTCTTTCTTTCTTCCCTTCTTTCTTTTTCCCCATTTCTTTCTTACACAGTAATTTCACGCGGACTTTTCTTTTTCTCTCTTTCCTTCTTTCTTTCTTTCTTTCACATTTCTTTTTTGCACAGTAATTTTCCGCTGACTTTTTTTTTCCTTTCTTCCTTTCTTTCCTTCTTTCTTTCTTTCTTTCTTTCTTTCTTTCATATTTCTTTCTTTCACATTTCTTTCTTTTACATTTCTTTCGTGCACAGTGATTTCACGCTGACTTTTCTTTTCCTTTCTTTCTTTTTTCTTTCTTTCTTTCACATTTCTTCCTTTCCTTCTTTCTTCCTTCCTTTCCTTCTTTCTTTCTTTCTTTCTTTCTTCCTTTCCTTCTTTCTTTCTTTCTTTCTTTACAAGGTTTACACGCTTTCCTTAAATATTGCATCTATCGTCTTATTTATTTTTTTCGGTTTTCGCCTTTTCACTCATTTGTTTCATATTCCTTTTCTCTTACTTCTTTCTTCACATCTTTCATTTATGCAATTACTTGAATTTCCTTTTCAAGTTTCTTTCTTCCATTTCTTCTTCATAATCTTTTACTTTTATTTCCCTGTTCTTTCTTGAAATTTTATTCTTCCTTCTTTTTCTTGTTCCACAGACAACTTCATCAATCTCATCTTTTTCATCCAATTGTTTCTTTCTTTCTTTCTTTCTTTCTCCCCTTTTTGCTGATCCTCATCCTATTTCTCCTACTCTGCTTCTTCTTCTTCCTTCTTTTGCTTCCTCAACTTATTCTTTCTTTTTCATTTTCTTCTTCTTCCTTTTGCTTCATCAACCTACTCTTTCTTCTTCATTTTCTTCTTCTTCTTCTTCCTTTTGCTTCATCAACGTACTCTTTCTTCTTCTTCTTATTCTTCTTCTTCTTCCTTCTTTTGCTTCCTCAACTTACTCTTTCTTTTTCATTTTCTTCTTCTTTTTCTTTTGCTTCCTCAACTTACTCTTTCTTTTTCATTTTCTTCTTCTTTTTCTTTTGCTTCATCAACCTACTCTTTCTTCTTCATTTTCTTCTTCTTTTGTTTCACCAACCTACTCTTTCTTCTTCTTCTTCTTCTTCTTCTTGCGTGATAAAGTGAATTATTTATGAAATGAAATATTTAGAATGAATAAAATAATAAAAAATTGAAAACACCCATTTACATCCGTTTTGGTAAACTTGCATTTTCAAGAAATATTTTAAAATTAAAAAAAAAATCAACTAGACATTGGCAGAGCCAGGACACCCCAACCATTTTATTTGGTGATTGGTTCGTTTTCTGCAGATTATCCACTAATTATAGGTTATGTAAAGCCAGAAAATATTTTTAAATTGTAAGATTTTTTATCTTTTGGTGATAACAGCGGTTTAGTCATACAGATCTTCGTAATTAAAACATAGTTGAGGAAAGAAGTTATTTGCGGGTAAATGAACGGGAATCCGGAACTTTGCTTTCTGATTAACAATTTCGAGTCATTATTCCTTACACAACCCGCACTTCTAAACTTCCAGTACGTGGTATCCCCAAGCGGTCACCCATCTAGGTACTGACTAGGCTCGGCGTTGCTTAACTTCGGTAACCATACAGGAACCGGTGACTCAGCGTGATGTGGCCGTAAACGTCCCTCATTTTACTTAAATTGTCTAGTCATCTTTTGACGTTTGTCGTTTATTCTAAATTGCCAAAGAAATATTTTGAAAATCAGTCATCATCATCATCATCATCGTCGTCGTCGGTGAAATGACTGGGTGTGGTCGTAGTGTCCCTTTGCAGCTGAGCAGCTGACCACATCCATCCATAAGTCTCGGCTGCGTACCAATGTCTGAATCTTTGTCAATGATTTCCACTGTATTCAGTGACTTTGTCGATCCATTTTTTATATCTGTCTTTTCTTTCGCCTAAGCTGGTAGAATGGTTGTTGAAAGATTGTTCTATTTTTACGTGTCTATATAATTATAATTTCCTCTTTTTTGACGGTGTTTTTTGCGGTCTTCCTACGACACCAAAAGAACTATCATTAAAATTCCATAGCGTCTCAAGGGACTATAATAACCACAACTCTTTTGTTAAATTAGCACAGAACAGGAGTCTTGGAGAGGAGTTAAAAGATATATTTACGTAGTTTCTGAATATGTGAAATCACCCTGATTTGCTGTGAATCGAATCCACTATCCTGATGGTGATGATATTTGCTGTTTGTTTCGGCCAGGATTTGACCGATATAATAACAGTCCCCAAAAGAAAGTCAGCAGTTTGGCAACGTCGGAAGACACCCAGTTACATTATAGAGCGGCAACCACACCCAATCATGTTTCAGCAACAGGTAAATATTTACGATACTACTCCAACGGCCATATCAGAGTAACTTACAGCGACAAGAGACTCTATAACTGCCCAGCTATTTACTTCGGACAGCTGTCCGAAGTGAATGCAGTCTCCAAGATGGAGTTTGAACCAGGTTCGCTGGTTCCATTCTATACGACGTTTATCGTTAGGTCACTACAGGAAAAATATCTATGGAAGCAGAAAAGACGAAGAACGCAACGTCCGAAATGCAATGCTAAAAACAACAAGGACGAGAATGTTCGACTAAATATGAATATTTTATAAAAAGAATAAACATTTCGAAAGTCGGTAATATAATAACTGAAATGCAATAAATAATTTAAAATGCACAAAGAGTGCTGAACTGCTACGTAATATCAATTATCCCATATAGCAGTAAATGCCAGATGCTTTCCTCTCAGACAACAGAAATGTGGTTCTACAGAAGGCTGCTGAGAATACTATGGGCACGTAAGCAACGTAGAAGTCAAGGAAAATCGAAAAAAATGACACTTTACTCAGAATTAGAAAAAGGCAGCTAAAATTAGACGCATAATGAGGAAGGAGGGCTTGGAAAATTTGACACTCACAGGGCACATCGAAGACAAAAGAGACCTGGGGAGGCAGCGAGCCATCTATCTGGCGAGCTTTTGTGGATGAATGGCGAGACAAGGTGGGGGATGGTAAAAAGATAAATATTACTAAAATCTATAAATGGAAGGAAGATGTGGAGAGTCATGTTCATCCACGACTTAAAGAAACATAGCGCATAGAAAAAGAATCAAATCAGTCTTCTGAAAGGAAAAAAAAACACGGATTATCAATGGTACCAACTATAAGCAGGCATGAGCAGAAGGCTGTGTAACAAACGTAAAGATATGACATAAGTGAGGATGATTTTTACTTACCATCAATATCTATATAGTTCTATAAGCGAATATACGAGTAATTTATATAATTCCTGGAGAATTGAAGACCCTAAGAATTTAACCATCTTAAAGCAGCTTTTTTTTACGCCATTCTTCTTTTTTATGTGCCTTGTCCTTTCACGACGTAGAAAATCATGGCTCTCCACCTCCCTCTATCTCTTGCAGCTCTCAACAAATTCTATCCCCCTGACCACGTTTTGCTTCCCATTTGTTAAAGTCCGCCAGGTATATCACGCATTGTTTTCCCGTGTCTCTCTTTCCTCTATTCGGCCCGTGTGTATCAGATTCTCCAGGTCCTCCTTCCTCATTATGTGTCCCAGAAACTTCAGCTGCCTCTTCCTGCTGTTAAGCACAAGCCTTCTCTTTGTTTGCCTCCTCTCCAAAACCTCATCGTTGCTCAAACGCTCGGTCCATGATAAATTTTGCATGATTCTATAGAACCAAATCTTTTTAGGTCCTGTCACTGGATCTAATCAACGCCTTTATCCACTGTGACAGGACCCAAAGGGTGTGAGTTCAATACCCGATTAAGGCAATGGAGAACTTGGAGATGGGAATTAACAGGAGATAACTGATAACTGACATCCATTAGACATGGCACGTGGAATTAAAACAGTCTACCCCAGTGAGCGAAATTAAAGGGTTCAGTTCAACATTCCAACCACCTGAAGAAGGCCGGAGAGTACAACGACCGAAACGTTGTAATAAATATGGCGGCGAAGATGAAGACAATAGTCCGAATAATGTAAATAGTGTCTCTTGTTATATCTGCTAATAGGTGTAAATTTAACAAAGTAAGAAACCTTTCTGCTTGACATTTCCATAATTTTCATCCTCTTCTCTAAACTGACTTTTGCTATTTTAAACCTTAAACCAAATACACACCAAAAAGGCAAGTTGAAGACTCCATAATTTTATGTAATCTCTGTTTGGTTATTTAACAGATTTAAGGGGCTTATAACTTTTGCATGACTTATTGTCAGTATCACTATGTGTTCAGGTTTGTATCTCCCCTCGTAATGAATACAATATAACAACAGAAAACTATGGTAGAAAGGTTTACTCTCCCATTTGTATTCCTCCCATTATGGGCATTATTATTATATCCATGATATAAAAACACTGTAGGGCAAGGACGAAACAGAATGGCTGAAAGGAAAATGAATGACAAACATACTTTTTTTATCAGAGAGACTTTTATACTACTATGACATACACAAAAGTATTAACTTATATATATATATATATATATATATATATATATATATATATATATATATATATATATATATATATACAGCTTTCATTACAGAAAATAAGTACACATGAAAAGTATGAAAAAGTGTATTAAAAATCAAACCAAAATTTTTTTTATATAATAAGAGAATAGTAGATTAATAGAACAATTGAATAGAAGAAAATAGAATAACAGAAAAGTAGAATAATAGAAATGTAGACAAGTAGAATATTGGATTTGTAGAATTGTAGAATAATAGAATTGTAGACTAGTAGAATAGTAGAATATTGGAATTGTAGAATAACAGAATAATAGATCTAAAAAATATTTATTTCATAAGAGGATCAAATAAAATATATAGAACCAGGAATTTTTTAAACTTTTTAAATTTTTATAAAATTTTTAAGCCCACCACCTTTTCAAATCTAATTTAGTCCAATCTTTAACAGGAGATGGCTATGGAAGAAAAATTTATTCTCCCATTTGTATTTCCCCAATTATGGGCGTTATTATATCCATGATATAGATTAATGGAAAAGAAAGAGTTTTATAATGTTACGTCATGCACAAAGATATATATACACATATATATGTGTACTACACAGAGAAATCTTAGTCGTTTCTATCTATCTATCTATCTATCTATCTATGTATTTTAGTGTTATGATGTTGACTTGGGGTTAGTAGAGACAAACGCCAAATAATACGTAACAATAAAAAGGGTTTTAATTGGTTGGTAAAAAGGTACAGAAATCGCCTGAGTAGTCAATAAATAGCTCATCTAAGAACTTCTCTGTCTATCTGTCTTTTTTCCATGTCAACTGACATGCCACTATTTAAAGTCTTTGTTCACAGACGCAGACAAATTCATCTTCAAGAGGGGTGGTAGGTTTCCGATACAACAGTTAGTCTCTTCAGTTCTATCTATCTGTAACATGGGAGAGCTATGATGGAAAGATTAATTCTCTCATTTATATTTCTCCCATTATGGGCATTATTATATCCGTGATATAATCACACTGTAGTTCACGGACGGAACCTAATGACTGAAAGGAAACGGAATGAAAAACATGCTTTGTTCTCAGAGAGACTTTTACACCATTAAGACATACACAAAAATATATGTACATATATTCACGTGTCCCATACAGAGAATAATATACCACATCAAGCAGTGTGTGAGGGGAAACAAAAAAAGGAAGAGTTTTACATATAATATGGAAATTCTTCGGTGTTTCTAGAGAAGCCATGTTTAGGACTCCAGATTCAAATGGGCCGAATTCCTCTTCTATGTTCCAAATGAGGACATATTCCATAAAAGGGAAACGGCGAGGCCTAGATTACATGCCGGAGTTTCTTACTGTGTCTGGGAAAGATATATTGCCAAAAGGAAACGGCACCATGGACTTTTAAGCTGTAGTATTTGGCAGCTGGCTGCCCAGCGCGGAAGCCAGGGAAGACCAACAAACGCGTGTGTCTTGACACCAGTTTACTGACTGAATAACTGGACACTTTCGTCACTGTAATGACGACACAAAGCCGTTCGTCACGTGACCCATGTGACTTATCTCCACCAAAGGGAGATAATAGGCTTCTGTATAGGTACAACGACAACTTGCGTTATAGTTCTGAATAGCGGCAGATACAATCCCGAATGCAAAATGGCGAACACTTTAAGCTTCTTAGTAAAAATTTTTAAAAAATATTTTTTTTTTGTTTGCTCAGTGACTCATTTCTTTAACTCGCCACTATATGAGCGCTTCAGTGGACGAATCAATCGCCTGGCATGAATCCAATTAAACATTTAGGATCAAACTTGAACGATCGAAATCATCAGAAGGGGCTCGGGAAATATTAAGGATTCGAACGTCGTTTACAAGAGAAACTGGGAAAATATTATTTTCTTTTTTACAGTAAGGTCATCCTAACTGTAAAACGGTTAAACCTAGCCTTGAAAAGGTTAAAATTGTAATGTTCTTGGAAACATCCTGCTGGGAGTTGGTTACACAGGGCAGTGGTTTGCAGGAAGAAGCTGCTAGAATGTAACTTACTTCTAACTGCTGGACTACGAAGTTAATGTGGGTGGTTTGCTACTCCACCCTTGTGCAAATCAATTGATACAAAACG